CTACGACGGAGAGAGAGAGAGAGAGAGAGAGAGAGGCCGTTTCTTCGAGAGGAACGATCCCTCGAAGAATATATACTCGGTCACGGACGGTGTTGAACCGTTGGGTGATCTCGTAAACTTATCCTAAACCGCATCGTCGAGACCATATTTTTGGATGGATCTTATAATATAAATAATACGAAGTGACACCGACTTCTCTGTGATGCTTCGCTTCTCGTGAACGCTTCTGGCTGTTTCCAGCAATTTTATCATATTTATAACCTAAAAAAAAAAAAAAGAAAAAAAAAAAGAAAACGAATTAGAGGTATACAATATTTTATAATAGATCTAAAAGAGATAGATTGAATTTTGTTTTTTTGTAAGGGAAAACGAGAGTTTTGTAAGAATCTAGAAATTTTTACACCAGTAAAAATCGTACGTGATTTTTTTAATATATATATATATATATATTCGTCGTATGAAATAGAAGGATCGATACTTTTCGGTAACTTTTTTGGTAATGTGCGAGTGTCTGGTTGGTTGTTCGCCACGCGTTAATTGAATCACGAAGGATGGATCAAGTGCACGTGAAATCGTCGAGATCGACGTCGAGGAGCAATCCGGCGAAAATGGCGTGCGAGAAGGCGAGCAAGAGGCTCAGGACGATTCTGGTGAAGGCGTCGCGCCTCGGCGTCTCGACGACGGAAGTTGCCAAGTTGCCAAGCGCCAAGAAGCTCATTCCGCAGAGAGATCACGGATGGAAGTTGGCGGTGTTCCTCCTGGTCATGTTCGGTGGCGGAGTGATCGTCGCCTTGGCCTGCACGGCGAGGAAAGGCTGCTCGAAACTGGAGGAGATCGTAAGTAGCATTTCAATTGTGTTATATATGAGAAAAGATCGATCGATTCCTCGACGGGAATATTTTTAGGACAGGATTTTAGAGCGAATCGGGGAGAAGCTCTCGAGATTTCGGGTAAATTAGGATTTAAATCGAGAGTTAAATTAGAGTTTCTCGCGTTTGGATCTCTCTCGAGATTTCGAGAGAGATAGGAGAAATTTTAGGAGAATATTTTTCCAATTAGTAAATTTCATAACTCGTCCGGCCAATTTTGATCTCGCCTAGATTAAAGCCGGCAAATTAGTTTTCTCCGCGTTTCGAGGATGCGAACGTCCGAAAGAACGTTTGGAATCTCTAAATTTGATATGATTTTACGTGGAGGATTTTGCTTCGATCTCAAATTGGAATTGGCAAATTAGATTTTACCTGGTGTTTATACCGAAATTTCGGAACAGGATAAAATTTCCGTAGGTGTCGAGATTTGTGCGTGGAGAAATTTAATAGGGAAACATTTATACGAAGATTATATGGACAGAGACATATTTGGAATTGAATAGGTAGGTAGGGGATGATAGGATAATTCCGTGCACGTGAAAATGTTTAAAAAGTGTATCGGATTCAAATATTTATCCCATTCTGACCTTGTTTGCCAGTTAAAATTGTTTTTTACTGTTCCAATAATATCCGCTCCGAAGCGTGCTTGCGTAATTAATTCCATTCAAATATTTACGAGACACAATTTCGTATCTTATGCATGATCCTGATGAATATTTGCCGATACTCTTATGATATTTCCCGAATTATTTTATATTCCGCTCCACTTGGCTCGATAAGAGCAACGCGGTGTGTAAAAAATTTCGACCGATAATTTTTAGTAACTGCAAAATAACTTTGAAATATTTTCGCATCCCTCCCCTCTCTCCGTCGTATTCGCTCCACGTAAAATATTGTTCCACGTTTCGACCATCGTTTCGATGAAATTAATATCGATTCGAACGATTTCATTAAAAGCGTTTAGCGAATGGCTAAAAAAAGAGATTCGTTCGAGTGGTTCGGTGGCAAAAAAGTTTTTCTTCTTTCCCCTCAATCATACATCTTCTCCACCATTCCTTCCTCCGTATCGAAAGACCTTGGAACGAGTACTTATTAGAGAGAGGGTAATCGAACTCTGTTTTAAATCCTTTCGTTACGAGGCAACGTTATACATACTGACGAGGCGAATTAGGCGCGTACACGAATGTTCCCGTGTGAAAAAAGTTGGCGTGGGTAAGCGGAGGAAAATTTGAAGGTATGGTCGTGGAGAACGCGGCTACAAAGAGATCTGAAATGGCCTTCGATGATCTGCATTCATAAATCCCTGTACTCGGCCCGAAAGAATCCTTTGTCACGAGACACAAGAGAAGGGCGCATCTCCGCCATTCTTTCCAGGAAAAGAAGAAATGAAACGTTTCGTGCATCGTTCCATAGTCGTGAAACGAATTTTTCCCCTCGGGTTTCTGAGGGGAAAGCATTTCGCATTTTTGAATAGCCACTGCGAGAAAATGGTCATAACCACTTTTCCAAATCTACTTTGTTACATCTACATTCAATCCCCGTGAATTATAATTTCTGCGCCGCTTTAAGTTTCTCAGAGAATAACGTTGATTTAGGACAAAGACGATCCTTTCGAAAAATCCTTTCTCCCGAAAGTTTAATAATACGATGATTTCGATGAAAAAAAAAAAAATCAAGAATCGTTCAATAATTGTACCGGGATAGGAAAGCTTAAAGCTCCTTCCTTCGAATTCCACGAAAAAAGATATTATTCCATCCTCTCGGGAGAATAACTCCGGTCCGACCATTATCCGGTTCGATACTACTTGGCCACCTCGTGTCGGCAAACGCGAGCTCAACTCTCGAGGATTAAACGCGATCCATCGCGCGACAACTCGTTGGTTTTTCGCCCCTCGTCGTGGCGAAACCAACAAAACTTTTCCAAACTTTCGTCCATCCACGAAAGACGATACATACCGCGGTGCATGCGCGAGATATCGACTACCGCGGCCCGTGCCAAGAGAGAGAGAGAGAAAGGAAAAGGGCGAGAAAGTAAATGGATTGCGGAATAGAGAGAGGAAGGCATCGCGTGTGCGAGAAGCTAGAGAGATACGATGGCGACGGTGGGGGGAGGTGGAGAAGGGTGTTAACGATGTTTCGTGTAGAGAGGAGACCGGGCGCTGAAATTACAGATCAAGGGGTTTCTAAACAATTACGCTGTCGGCGGGAGGTCAGGGCGAACAGCATGAGGTTAGAGGTTACGGCTCGCAGGAGCCGAGGCTTGCGGCCTGCGGCTGGTTGCGGACGAGGGTCGAGGCTAACAGGAAGTGCTCTCTCACCGCCGGCCAATGGTCGGGGTGGCTACATCGGCGACTGAAGCATCAGCACCACTCCTATCCTCCGATATTCCCCGGGGAGCGAAGGCTTCCATTGTCCCTGTGGGGCGAACGGAGATAGATAGGTCGAGCCGGGAGAATTCTCGTGGGGCGAGGATAAGAGTGGGAAGGTTTAACGGGGAGGGGTGGTGGTGGTGGGCAGGCCGAGTGTGTGTTGCAGGCCAAGGCAAAGCTTACCCATGGCTATCCACGGGAAAGGGTGTACACACAGTGTTGGAGGCGAGGATCGATCGGTCGCAATAACCACAACTTGGAAAGTTCCCTCTCTTTGAATGGGCGGTGGTGAACAGGATTGGTAGCGATTTTCACCGGTACCGGGACCGGCAAGACGACCCCTCTCTAACAGGGCTGATTGCCGGTCAGAAACATCGAGCCCCTTTCCTTCCCAACGAACGGAATTATTCCACGACAAGTGTTACCGAATCGAAAGGGTATCCCCTTTCCTTCCCCCCTCTCTCTCTCGTGCTTTAATCTCCTCTCGCGCCATTATCGGTTAACAGTGGCGTGAGAGCCGGTTCCTTGAACTCGATTCGGGGCCCTTGACGTGGCGCACCGTCTATGGGAGCCGGAGCAGGAAGCACGGATCCCTTTGATGTTCGGGAGGCAAGCAGGATCGGTCTCTGGGCCATTGCTTATATAAAGCTTGTTAACGCTATCTCGGTGCACGGGTGATGGACGTGCATATATATTCGGTTAGAGGAGCCGAGATACGGGACACCGGCGGAGATGGAGCGTGAAATGTAAAGTAGGCCAATCTCTCCTCCTCCTTCTCCTTCTCCTCCATAGTTGACCATGTTTGCCAAGTGTATCTAAATGTTTGGGAGAAAGTGGCGCGACGCGATGAACTCGAAAACTTGATCTTCGCGAAACGATATTCGACAAAGAATGCGAGAATTCGAGGAGGGGAAGAGACGGGACGGTGATGAAAGAGAGAGAGAGAGAGATGAGAGAACGGAGAGAGTCAGGATGGGATATAAAAGTGGACGACGATGGCGATTTTCCAGTGGCGATTCGACGTTGAAAATCCACGTCTACGCCGTCAAATCCCATCACGGAGGACGGCATAAATTTCTCCCGCGTGTGAACCCAACCCCTTTTCGCTCCCCGCCTCGCCTAGCCCTATAGATATCTTCTCGCAATGTCATGACTCGCTTGCGTTCCCGCAACCGTGTCACACGGAGCGGAGAGCGGACATTTATGATTCCGTTCGTTCCTCATCATGCGTGGAGAGCGCGGCTACCGTTCCACGCTAGTGCTCCTACGCGTACACGAGCGCATATATACTGCACACGTATGTGTATAGATAGACAGGTGTGTAGACGCACAGAGTCTGCGCTCTGGTTTGGGCCTCCGTGTATATATACAGGGTGTTTCCCGAAATTCCAGTCACGGTTGCTCGATCGCAATAATTTGCAGGAAATCCGAGCCCCCGAAACAAAATTTCTCCCTGTCCCGAGGGAACAGTAGATTGGTGTATATATATTTTTTTAATTGGACCCGGCCGAGCGAAAAATTTGCAACGCGAACACCCACGGTGAAACGGTGGGCTCGGTAACTATGTAAGCGCCAACTTGAAAAAACGGTTTAATTTTCGCGCGAAGGCTTTTGAACGTGATGCAGGCCTATATCGAACGTTCTCCTAATGAATAAATCCGATCCAGTCTCGATTTCTTCGATCCGCGAATTAATAACAAGCGCCATCCACGATTATGACTGTAATCGTTTCTCTCGTTCGATTCTCGATCGCCTTGGTAGATCCCGTTCTCGAAATCCTGGAGTCTCGTATCGGGAGGGTAGGGGGAGGGGGAAGGTTCGAAGTTGGGGCGAAAGAAAAATACGAGTTCCTCGATCCTGGGTCTGGCAATTGAATCGGTCGATTCCTTTTCCTCTCTGCAATTTATGTTTGTGTTTCGACGTTGAACGACACTCGGCCACGGAGGAAATTCTCCCTGAAGGATACTTGAATTAACTCTTTAAGCGGCGGGAGTGGATATATCCGAGGAAGTTGGTTTTTCATACGATAGATCGAGTGGATATATCCATCACTGTCTTTATTTGTTTGGGGGTACGTGATTGCCCGTTCAAGTGAGATCCTTTCTTTTATTTCCTTGTCGTCCATCTCCACCGCTGATGGAAAGCTTCCTCGACAGCTCTCAACGCGCACTTTCCACTTAACTTCCCGTAAGGGACATTAACGAGCTTTCGCGTTCCTCCCTTCTTCTTTTTTCTTCTTCCCCTTCTTTTCTTTTTCCCTCGATCAAAATTTTTGAATTAAAATATACACAAGACCTCGATTATAAATCGAATATCTATCTCGTGATATCGTGATACATCGATTTCTCTCCCTAAAAAAGATTTTATATCCATATTTTTTTTCTCTTCCCTCTACTTTCTCTTTACAAATATAAATAAAACCGTGTTATCTTTCACCACAGGATATATATATATATATATATATCCATGTAATTCGTATTGTAATTGAAAAATGGCCCCTGTCGAAACTGGAAAGCCGGATCGTTCGATCAAAATAAAATTACGGCGCGATTTAGAAACCTGTCATACATCAAAATAAAACGTCACCCTCGTGGAAAT